GGAGAAAGCCACCCACACAGGTCAGGGGACCCAGGTGTCTGGGAGGGGACAGACCCCAAGGGATTCAGGGGACCCCGGCGTCTGGGGGGACCCCGATGTCCGGGCATACCGGGCAGGAAAGCCTCGGGGTGGTGCCAGGTGTCGGGGTCCTGCTGGGCAGCCAGGAGGTTGGGGATCAGGATGGAGCCGGCCGGCACTGGGATGCCCCCGACACTGGGAGGAGACAGCGGGGTGTTGGGATGTACTGGGATCTTCTGGGCTCTGTTGGGGTCTACTGGGACTTGCTGGGGTCTACTGGGATCTATTGGGGTCTACTGGGGCCTGTTGGGCTCTCTGGAGCATACTGGGGTCTACTGGGGCCTACTGGGGTCTGCTGGGGCCTAGTGGGATCTACTGGGGCCTACTGGGGTCTGCTGGGGCCTAGTGGGATCTACTGGGCCCTAATGGGATCTACTGGGCCCTAATGGGATCTGTGGGGTCTACTGGGACTTGCTGGGCCCTCTGGAGCCTACTGGGGTCTATTGGACACTACTGGGGTCTACTGGGGCCCTCTGGGGCCCTCTGGGGCCTACTGGGACCTGCTGAGGCCTGCTAGGACCTCCTTGAGCCTACCGGGGCCTACTGCAGTCTATCAGGGTTAACTGAGACTTACTGGGGCCTACTGGGAGTTACTGGGATGTACTAGAGTACACTGGGGCCTGCTGGAGTCCACTATGCTCTGCTGGGGCCTACTGGGGTTTACTGGGACATACTGGGCTCTACTGAGGTCTTCTGGGGCCCACTGGAGCATGCTGAGACCTGCTGGGATCTACTGGGGCTTACTGGGATGTACTGGGTTCCACTGACATCTTCTGGGGCCTGCTGGGATATACTGGGGCATACTGGGACGTACTGGGATCTACTGGGGTGTACTAGGGCCTGCTGGCACCTACTGGGCTCTGCTGGGGCTACTGGGGTCTATTAGGACCTATTGGGGCTTACTGGGGCCTACTGTGTTCTGCTGGGGTCTCCGGGGGCCTACTGTGTTCTGCTGGGGTCTATTGGGGTCTACTGGGACCTACTGGGGTCTACTGGGGCTTACTGGGATTTACTGGGGCCTACGGGGCCCTACTGAGGATGCCTGCACTGGTCAGTACTGGTTCATACTGGTCTACACTGGTGCAAAACACTGATACGCTTTGGTGCACAGTGCTGCAACCTGATGCCCAGTGGTCTGTAGTGGTTCATGCTGGTTCATACTAGTCCACAACCATCTGTACTGGTCCATACTGGTTTCTACTGGCTGTACCTGGTGTGGCGGCGGGCGCAGTGGGGCAGGGCCAGCGGGGCAGGGGGCCGGAGGCGCAGGGTCTCGGTGATGGTGGCGTGGAGAAGGGGCAGGCGTCCAGTGTCACCCGCCTGGGGGGTCCCGGTGGGACCCAGCTCCCGCCAGAGCTCCGCCTGCAGCCGCTCCTGCAGCTGGGGGACACGTCACACGTGTGTCATACACGTGCCACACGCAGGGCACCGCCTCCTGGGGTGACATGTGTGTCATGGAGTATGGGGAGGTGGGTCCCACCCTGGGGGATACCCAGTGCCAAGGTGGGGGGGACATAAATGGGACCACGGAGCCGTGTGGGGACATGGACATGGGTGTGACACGCGTGTGGCACCTTGGGGCGGCGCAGGGGGACGGCGATGGCCATGGGGAAGGGACACAGGGGTCACACAGGACACGGGTGGGGACACAGGCCCCCCGGGGGACACCCATGGGGACTTGAGGACACAGGCAGGGACACGGACACGGCTGTGACATGCGTGTGGCACCTCGGGGCGGTGCAGCAGGAAGGCGATGGCCCAGGCCAAGGGATGCCCCCGATGAAGAGATCAATGAAGAGATCGACCAGGGCCATGTGGAGGCGGGGGGGGCTCAGGGGACCCCCCTGGACGCCTGGGTCCCTTCCCTGCAGTGCCGCCAGAACCGTGTCCCCAGGGGGGGATGGGCACTCCTGCGGGGACATGTGTCATTCCCTCCCAGATACCTGGGTCCCCCCCCCCATGCATCCCCCCTGACCTCGTGCCGTCGAATCTGGGCCTCCACGAAGCTGTCGCGGAGCTCGACGAGGCGCAGCAGCTCCCGCAGCCCCGGGTTGGGGAGGACCTGGGACGTATGGATCCCATAGGGACTCCCCTCAGCACCTCCCCCCCTTGCCCTATAACTCCCCTCAAGCCCATAGAAACCCCATAGTTCTTCTCCCCCCCGGGCTGTATAGACCCTATAGGCCACCCTCCCAGACCATATAGACCCTCCCCACAGTCCTATAGATTCCCCCAGCCCCATATAGACCATATAACCCCCCCTGGCCCATATAGACCATATAACCCCCCCTGGCCCATATAGACCCTAAAACACACGCCCACACCCCCATATAGATCATCCCAGCCCCATAAGACCCCCATAACCACCCCTCCCAACCCCATACAGCCTCCCCATGTAGAACACCCATCTCCTTATAGACCCTATACCCTCAGCCCCTCCTACACCTTATACATCTCCCCCCAGCCCATATAAGCACCTCCCCA